TCCTGAGTGCTGGGATTAAAGGAATGTGCTACCACTGCCCAGCTTCAGATTTATTTTTAAGTATGTGTATTGTCTTATGGGATTTATGCATGTGAGTGTCATCAGAGACTGAATGAAAAGATGGACATGACTGCACTTAGGTATACCGGAGGAGGTTTCTTTTAGATAAAAGGAAGAGCATAGTCAGAGGCAGGGACATCTGGGAGAGTCCAGAGTGCACGTGACCAGACAGAGCTGGGCCATGTTAGGAGAAGGGGAGAGGAAAGTAGAAGGGAGGGGGGAGCAGGTGCAGTTGCTAAGAGGGCAAAGGTACAAAAGGGGCAGGTAATCAAAATGGCTGGATTATATGGGAAGAGCCTCTGCAGAAAGGGCAGTCCAGCCCCGGGCTGGAGAGTTATGGAGGTTAATGGGAGGAAGGCTGTACCAGCTATACCCTGTAACAGATCTGAGGGATACTGGGAGAACCTGGCCAGGTCTGCTTTGATTTGTTAAATAGGCACCTCATCCATTTGTCCCAGGGTTTGAGACTTAACAGAGACTACAAGATGGCATGAGATCCTCTAGAACTGCAGTTACAGATAGTTGGTAACTCCTTGTGGGTGGGTGCTGGGAACCAAAACCAGGTTCTCTGCAAGAACAACCAGTGTTCTACCTGCTGAGCCACCCAGCCCCATCTAAATTCTTTTAATCAATGAGATATTATAAACTCGAGGCATTTTGCAGTGATATTCCATTCAACACACTGCATACTGTAGGCAGACATTCATGAATAACTGATGAATTAAATCCCCCTCATACTCACAGCATCTTTCTTTTTCCAAGACAGGGTTTCTCTGTGTAGCAGCCCTGGCTGTCCTGTAATTTGCTTTGTAGACCAGGCCTCAAAATCACAGAGATCCGTCTGCCACCACTGCCCAACCAACCACTTCACAACGTTAAAACTATGCCTGGCCCTTGACTACATGGACCCAGAAACCACTTTGTTCAGAGAAAAATCTCTGGACAGATTTTTTTTTTCTTTTTTGGTTTTTCGAGACAGGGTTTCTCTGTGACTTTGAGGCTGTCCTGGAACTAGCTCTTGCAGACCAGGCTGGTCTGGAACTCACAGAGATCTGCCTGCCTCTGCCTCGGGAGTGCAGGGATTAAAGGTGTGAGCTTCCTCCGCCCGGCCTTCTGGACAGGTTCTAAGTATTCATTTATAAGAAACAGCTGCAGCTGGGTAATGGTGGTGCACACCTTTAGGTGTGTCTGTGAGTTCGACGCCAGCTTGGTCGACAGAGCAAGTTCTAGGACAGCCAGGACTATACAGACCCTGTCTCAAACAAACAAACAAACAAAAAGAATGTAAGTGTAAACTCCAAAATGACCACGCCACACCCCATGGCCCACAAGGTAAAGCCTGTTAATGATGGTTATTGTAAGTGTAATGAGGTTACGCGGCATGGCAGTTAACCTTATATAGGAGTTGGGGAACTAGCCTAATGGGAGAGCTGGTAAAAGGGAAAGCCATTCCTGGAGAAGTGAAGAGAAGCATAGTAAGGATTAGATGGGGAGTCTTGCTGTTCCTAACACTGGGGATGGAAGGACAATATAAGGAGTACTAGTGCTCTCCAGGCACTGCATGACCTTCAGTCAACAAGCCAACAAGAGACTTCAATTCTACAATGAACTGGATTCTACCACAACCATGTAGACTCGGAAAAGGACACAAAGCCTCTTACTGTAATGAGAACACAGCCAAATTGCATTTACTTTCCTATTATTGCAGTGACAAAACATGACCAAGGCAATTTATGGAGAGTTTATTTGAGCTTACAGTACCGGAGAGATAAGAATCTATTGCTATCAAGGCCAGTGAAAGACCCCCGCCCTTAGCTTTCTCTTTTAAGTTTTCCCGCATGCAGCTGGCGAATACATCCTCTCCTGCACCCCCTGACCCTTGATACCCACAGCTGCCGGCACTTCCCCGCCGCCGCGCAAGGCCGGCCCCGGCCCCCGCCGGACCGCTCCGCCCCAAGGCCTCCGCC